GGAGTGGGGGGGGGAGATGTGTGTGATTGCAGTCATGTCTAATTTAACCCTAAAAATGCAAAACTTGTGCCATTAAATATCATCTATAAGTACAGTAGTAAGTTAAAATTCTGATTTTGAGATGCAGTATATATATTAATTAAAGGGGTCAGGTACCATTTCATAAAATTAATTTTCTACTTGCCCAAACTCGCATAGAGCAGAAGGGGATTCTGATTCAGGGTGTTTGAGTTTGTTGGACTTTGAAAATAAATAAGTGTATTGCCTCTCTGACATTTGGAGACATTATTGGGTGTTATCCAACTAAGTCACAGAGTAGACCCACTGAAATTATTCAGTGGGTCTGCTCTGTGACTTAAGCAAATTATCACCCTTAAAAAAATCTTTATCACAATCTACGTTGAAGATATTTAATACAACCAAATGTGAATATAAGGTTGTTTTCAAGATCTCAGAGCATCTATCTAGCGACAAAAATGTTCAGAAATACTTCTCTCTTGAGGAGGAAAGCTACTACTAATACTAACAGCTTGAACTGTTAGCCAGAGTGAAAATACACAATATGTGGTTATGTTGCTGACTTTATTGTGTTTGGGAAAGTAAAATGTCTTGCATTCCACAGGTTCCGATTTCAGATTCCAGCCAGCAGCAGCTTTTGTTTTCTTATGTTTGCACTGTTAAATACTAATTATAGCTCTTTGGGGAATAGCTTGAAGCTGTTCTGGCTGTTATTCTAAAGAAAAGCAAAATTCTGAGTTACTACATAGCCTGTTATGATACTTCAGCATATTCATGCCAATTTATGCATTTAAAATCCGTCCTCTGCAACAGTCTAGAATAAAAATGCTCCTTAAAATCCTGGACAATATTTTTGCTTTTTAACTTGGCACCTTTCTCATTTCCCCCTCTATTAAAAGCAAAAAAAAATAGCAACCTGATTCAGATACATTCATACCATTGCTTTTAAATAAAATTTATGAAGCTTGCAAAAGCTTGTCTTCTGTGACTATAGATACCAGCCAATAAATAGCTGTGGCAAGACAATTTACTATGAACCAGAAACCATTAAGCTGACTTTGTGCAGGAATAGAGACTGGGGAGACAGGGAAAAACCTAATGTACATTCTGGGCTCTATACAACACATGAGTGTCTTAAGATCCTCTTTCCCTTCCGTTTCACCAATAGGTTCTTGATGGTTGTATCAGGGTTCTTAGCATTTGAAAATTGTGGCGGAAACAGGATATAAACTGCTTAACTAGCAAAACTCATTACCAGTATTTCTGGAAGGAACCAAAAAGTGGTATAAGCCCTAGCCAATTAAGCCAGAAGAAAAATTATCTCTGAACTCTGCAGAGCAGAATAATACCAAATACAATAAGAAACACTCTATATCCAAGAGATTATATTTTGGGATTTGACATGGCAATATGTGCTTCCAGATTTGCCTGTAGATAACAGTTCATTCCCTCCAAACTTGCATTCAAGGCCAGTGAGAAATTAGCACCAGTCAATCATGGAAAATGTCTCACTGTGTTAATAGCCTGTTGATGGAAGAAAAATGTAGCTTAGAGTTATACAGTGTTGACTTTAAGTATTTGGTTTTCATCACATCACCTAAAATAAAATTAATAAACTCTTGCCTAAGTCAGCACCATCACATTTCTCTGACTGGCAGGTATGCTGAATGTGAACTGAAGTTAATGAGTCTTTCTTTACTCCCCCCCCCTTCCCTTCTTTCTTTAGTCAGTTCAACAGTGACCAAATTGGCTGGGAGAAAGAAAACTAAATCTTAAGTGGTAGGAAATATACAGGAAGACAGAATCAGTGACCTGGAGAGATTAGAACAGGAGAAGCTGTGGGCAACAGCAGGCAATTTGGAACTAATAATTTTGTAATCCAAAGAGAGGAAATTAACCACACAGATAGCAAAGACAATAGAATCCAAACCTTTGGTTTTTTAAAAGGTTATTTTTCATGTCTTTAATTTTTAAACGATACATTTGTGAAGAGAAATTATAGATGGTAATTAGTATGAGATCAGAATGTAAGAAGTGGTCTTTCTTTAGAAATAGCAAAGATTTTTAATCGTTCCTTGAAAGAGATCAGTGAGTTGAAAAACAGATCATAGCAGAGAGCTGTGAATTAAAATAATTCCACATTCACATGGAAGATACAAATGCTCAGATTTGAATGATGAATTGGGAATAGTATGTGTTTTCTATAGTGCTAATTGAATTGCAATGCTTAATTGTGTACTGTACCTCATACACAGAAACCTCAGTCCAGCTAAAGTTAGAATCATAGAATCATAGAGTTGGAATAGCCCACAAGGGCCATCAAGTCCAACCCCCTGCCAAGCAGGAAACACCATCAGAGCACTCCTGACATATGGTTGTCAAGCCTCTGCTTAAAGACCTCCAAAGAAGGAGACTCCACCACACTCCTTGGCAGCAAATTCCACTGTCAAACAGCTCTTACTGTCAGGAAGTTCTTCCTAATGTTTAGGTGGAATCTTCTTTCTTGTAGTTTGGATCCATTGCTCCGTGTCCGCTTCTCTGGAGCAGCAGAAAACAACCTTTCTCCCTCCTCTATATGACATCCCTTTGATATATTTGAACATGGCTATCATATCACCCCTTAACCTCCTCTTCTCCAGGCTAAACATGCCCAGCTCCCTTAGCCGTTCCTCATAAGGCATCGTTTCCAGGCCTTTGACCATTTTGGTTGCCCTCCTCTGGACACGTTCCAGTTTGTCAGTGTCCTTCTTGAACTGTGGTGCCCAGAACTGGACACAGTACTCCAGATGAGGTCTGGCCAGAGCAGAATACAGTGGCACTATTACTTCCCTTGATCTAGATGCTATTGATGCAGCCCAGAATTGCATTGGCTTTTTTAGCTGCCGCGTCACACTGTTGGCTCATGTCAAGTTTGTGGTCAACCAAGACTCCTAGATCCTTTTCACATGTACTGCTCTCAAGCCAGGTGTCACCCATCTTGTATTTGTGCCTCTCATTTTTTTTGCCCAAGTGCAATACTTTACATTTCTCCCTGTTAAAGTTCATCTTGTTTGTTTTGGCCCAGTTCTCTAATCTGTCAAGGTCGTTTTGAAGTGTGATCCTGTCCTCTGGGGTGTTAGCCACCCCTCCCCCCAGTTTGGTGTCATCTGCAAATTTGATCAGGATACCCTTGAGTCCATCATCCTAGTCGTTGATAAAGATGTTGAATAAGACCAGGCCCAAGACAGAACCCTGTGGCACCCTACTAGTCACTCTTCTCCAGGATGAAGAGGAACCATTGATGAGCACCCTTTGGGTTCGGTCAGTCAGCCAGTTACAAATCCACTGAGTGGTAGCATAGTCAAGACCGCATTTTACCAGCTTCTTTACAAGAATATCATGGGGCACCTTGTCAAATGCCTTGCTGAAATCAAGGTAGACTACATCCACTGCGTTCCCTTCATCTACCAGGCTTGTAATTCTGTCAAAAAACGAGATCAGGTTAGTCTGACATGACTTATTTTTCAGAAATCCATGCTGACTATTGGTGATCACAGCATTCCTTTCTAGGTGCTCACAGACTGTTTGCTTAATGATCTGCTCCAGAATCTTCCCTGGTATTGATGTCAGACTGACTGGGCGATAATTATTTGGGTCCTCTCTTTTCCCTGTTTTTGACTGTATACCTTTTCCCCTTTTTTGACTGTTAGTTGAAACTAGCTTATTCCATTGGTTTCCATGGGACTTAAATGGAAGAAATTGTATACAGTCAGAGTAAGTAGCCAAAGCATATCAAAATACTTCCTTCCTTCACTAAACCTTTATTAGGCATTGCAAATATAAGCCATCATAAAACATCCATATATAAAATTTTAAGATATATACAAATAAACAGCCATGAAAAATATGTAATAACAAGGATTTTCATAGGAGTTTCTTCCTTCTAAATAGTGCCATTTACTTAAATTACTTACCTGGATGAAAAATCTAAACTTACCAGGGAAAAGAACAAATAGGTTTTTCCAAAGGCTGCTCTATCTTAGACCATTGTCTCATACTTACACATTTGGTTGAAAAATATAGACTTCAAAACAAGTCTAAGATTTATTCAGTTTTCACAGATTTTCATGGTGCCTTTGAATCAGTTGATCATGTGATATTGTGGAAGAAGCTTGTAGAGTTAGGAAGCAATCAACACTTGCTGATCTTAATACAGAATTTATATCCCTTTAACATCTGCCAGATCAAACACAGTGCCAAAGGTCACCTCAATTCCAACATTCCTAATACGAAAGATGTAAAACAAGGGTGTATTCTTGCCCCTTTTCTTTTTAATTTATTTTTATCAGATCTTCCAGAGCACGTTAAAAAAATAGAATGACATGCCCCCAAAATCAATCAAATCCCGGTCCCACTGTTACTGTATGCAAATGATATGGCCTTATTATCACTGACGACAATAGCTCGGAAATGTCTTCTATTCTCCCTGGTTTCCTGTTGTGAAACCAATAAACTCTCAATAAATTATGAGAAGTCAAAAATTCTGGTCTTCTCTAATTCTTGGAAATTTGAGAAATGGAAAATAACAGGACAAGAAATCCAGCAAGTCAAGATGCACAGATATCTTGGAATTTTATGCTCTCAGAGATAATAAAGGTACACTGCAAATCCTATATGAATGATCAATAGCAATTCAGATGTAAATTAGATTTTAAACCAGAAATATTTGTTCCATTGTGTCTGGGCCAGTTCAGGTGCTTAAAAGTAGGCAGTCTCCTCCAGGCCAGTTATTCTGGGGGAAAGAGAGTGGGCTGCAGTGAGTGGTAATCAAACTATGTATTGGTTTCAGGGAATATTCTATCCTGACCCCACGTATGTGGGAGGAACCCATTTAACTCAGTAGGACTTGTTTATGGGGAGAAAGGTATAGGATTGTGCTGTAAGGGATACTTACATGCTTACTAAATTGCATTAACTACCCTTTCCCTACTTATTTCAAATAGGGCCGAAACAGCTTGGGTTCCATTTATGTTTGGGCTTCTGGAAATGGTGGAAGGAGTAAGGACCATTGTTCCTGTGATGGCTACACCAATAGCATCTACACGATCTCCATCAGCAGCACAGCTGAAAGTGGGCGGAAACCTTGGTATCTGGAAGAATGCGCATCTACACTTGCCACAACTTACAGCAGCGGAGAATCCTATGACAGGAAAATAGTATGTAATATTTTCAACACTATCAAAGCATGTCTTTAACTCATCTTGTGGGAAAGGAAAGTATATCAACTAAGGCTTTATGCAGATGAATATATTTTTTGAGCTAGAAAATTTTGCTCAGAACACCAGGCACATTCAAAGGAGTAGAAAATCAGTACTTATATTTCTCAACCACTTTGTGCAAGCAAAAATTGGTTTGCACAAACAAGCAAAAACTGGTTTGCACAAAAGTCAAATAAACAAAACGAAACAAAAACTCCTGATCATCATCCTATTGAAGGAAAAAATCCTGTTCAGTTCTTTTACTATTTTTCCATCATCCTTAAGAATTTCTCCCAACATTTTCTCCTTTTCAGTCTCTTGCTACTTACTAATAAGGAGTTAAGATCAGCTGTTTTTCAAAATATTGTCTATCATTTCTTCTAGTAATCTGGGATATTAACCATCTCTCCTGGAAATTTTGCTGTTTTCAAATGATTAATTTAAAGACAAATTCTGAGGTAATTCATCATTCCAGTAATATTTCTATTCATATCTACTTTTTTAAATGTATCTGTGTGTGGCTTACTTCCTTCGTCTCATTGATTAATAATAATAATAATAATAATAATAATAATAGGAAAACAGATTATTCAGTTCCCCAGTAAATCATATTCCTCTGATGAAATTTCTCATCATCTTGTGGGTCCTTTGGTTCATGGTAAGATATTTTATATCTTCCTCCTCTTGTGCAATACTGATGTTTTCCACTTCCTGTTTCTTTGGAAACATGATTTAATTTAGAGCACATTGCTTCCTGAGAATAGGTAAGTTAGTAGGTAAGGCTTTCTGATACATACCATGTGAATCTCTAACACACCATACTTAGAGTAATTTGTGTATTTAAAATTATTTAATAATAGTACAGCTAAAAGTGTTGGTTGCCTTGCTGAGAGTCCCATGTGGGGTGTAATGCATATTCAGGCTTTCTCATAGCAAGTGCTTCTATAATAGCTATTGTAATATATTGTTGCACCCCATCCTAATCTCCCAGTGGTGTGAGATTCGTGTTTCCTTCAGAATGAGGCACAGGAAAGACTCTGGTGTCTTTGTGATATATGGTTTATTTACACATATGTACAAGTTGAGCCTACGATGGAGGGGTTCAATATGGAAATCCAGCCTGCAGCTTTTGTTTCTATCTTCTTAGCTAACATAACTCAGTTCTCAACTTTAGCCTTTTGTCTTTCTAACTAACAGACGGGGGGGGGGGGGGCTGCCCATTTATACTTTGACACAGAACCACTCCCTTTGTTACCTTAACGACCCATATATAGTGGGCCATTACTAGGCTGCCTGGCTATTCCAGAAATTGAATCCATGTTGGATCCAGTCATGAGAAGCAGGGCTCAGGTACACAGCCTAGCCACCTCAAACTCATAACAGTGTCTTCTTTGCTACCCTCAGTTTTGTGTTTTTATTTACAAAATTATTATTGCTACTACATTCTGAGTCCATATCTCAGGATGGAACTGAATGCATTTTGACAGGGTGACGCTTGGGTCGTGGGGGAAACTTCTCATCAGAAAGACTGAATGTTAGAATTAATGAATTATGTTTAATATGTCTGACTATACAGATATATACATACAGACATTTTGGAATTGAAATGAAAACAACATTAAAACATGGTGGAAATTGCATAATCAGTGTACAAAAGGAAATATTTGTGCGGAGGGGACTTGTGTGTGGAATTATTGGAATATTTCAGTAAAAACGAAGAAATAAATTGTCAACATTCAGCAGTAGTTACATAACTCCTGTCCTAGGAGTTGCCTTAATTATTTTTTTGTCTCTTTGTGTTTCTTGTATATCTTTCTAACAATCCAGCTCAACATTTCATAAGCTAAATGCTTCCCATACACGAGCCTGATAATATATGTTTAAATATACCAATTATACTTACTGTACATATTAGTGAGGTATATGTATAGATTTCCCACATTCACATTAGAGTTGGTTCACACAAGGATGCTCACTTGATGTGATGATTCCTGCAACAGCAAGCTCTCACATGAGGAGATGAGTCTTTCACAGGCCAAATGCTACAGTTCAGTGCATCTCACATCACCTCAGAAACAAAACTTTTAAAATTCAGCTAGGAGTCTTCAAGTACTGAGTAATACATGCATAAGAAATCAAGTGATGTGCATTTACGCATAAGCTGGTCCAAATTTCAGAGTTTTACACAGTGGTAAGCCTTGCACCTAGGAAACTTTGGTGGGGTGGAATTTGTGCTGGCCTGTTCTATGAAACTAAAATTATGAATTGTGTATTCACTAATAACATAGATTGTAAGGCCTATACACCATAATAGGATGTATCCGGATAGGTAGGATGTATTATAAAATGTCAAAAGTGGTTTTCCATTTCCTGTGTGGTAGGTGGAATTACAAAAGAGACCGGATTCTCTTTGGGTGGTTCAAGAGGTGATTTGACAAAACGTTTCTGAATCCTTGGTTTATTCAGCTTGTCCTGATCTAGTGTAAAGCTTGTTGCTGTTGTTGGTATTCAACTAAGTACAGTGATACCTCTGGTTAAGTACTTAATTCGTTCTGGAGGTCCGTTCTTAACCTGAAACTGTTCTTAACCTGAAGCACCACTTTAGCTAATGGGGCCTCCTGCTGCTGCCACGCCACCAGAGCACGATTTCTGTTCTCATCCTGAAGCAAAGTTCTTAACCTGAAGCACTATTTCTGGGTTAGCGGAGTCTGTAACCTGAAGCATATGTAACCTGAAGCGTATGTAACCCGAGGTACCACTGTATTGGGTATTCAGATTCAGTTAACAAAAAAGAAATTCAGTTTAGCATGTTGTTTGCCCTTCTATCATGAAGTGCCACAATAGAAAAGAAATGATTCCTTCAAGATTCCATTAGGATTGTATTTTCACTTTGAGGAACAACCAACTCAAAACCTTTAACAGGTTAATAATGTTACAAACATTACACACTCAAGAAAGAAACATGAAATCTATTGTAATAGGTTTAAGATAAAAACAGTGATAATGTGATCAGCAAGGGAACTATGTTTGACCTGAATAATTGACCTTTCCCAATAGCATGCCTTCATAATAGCTGCATAGAAATGCAGTTTCTCCCTAATATCAGAGCAAGTCACTTGAAGAAAAGTGTTGCAGCATAGTCATCTAGATACAGTAGTGCCTCACAAGACGAAATTAATTCGTTCTGCGAGTTTTGTCGTCTTGCGGTTTTTTTCGTCTTGCGAAGCACGGTGTCGGGAAAGTTTTGGAAAAGCTTCAAAAATACCAAAGTCTTTAAAAACCTCAAAAAAGGCTACCACACCGCGTTCTATGAGTTGCTCCTCGAAGTCAAGTCGCAACTGTATTAACGGTGTTAAGAAAAAGGAAACAAACTTGCAAGACGTTTCCGTCTTGCGAAGCAAGCCCATAGGGAAAATCGTCTTGCGAAGCAGCTCAAAAAACAAAAAACCCTTTTGTCTAGTGAGTTTTTTGTCTTGCGAGGCATTCATCTTGCGAGGTACCACTGTAGGTGTAGGTAAGCACAAAACTGCTCATCCTGAAAATTCATAATGAGGCCCTTGAAGAGTGCAACTGAACATCAAAAGCTGGGGGGGGGCAGCAGAATTAGCTGAGGATCATACTGCCTGATAGACTACAGCAATCTTCCTCTCCAGAACCCCTTAGAGATTCATACATCCTAAATTGGATGTAGCATCCCTTGCCTGGCAGCAAGGCTAGAATGGGGTGGCTAGACATATTTGAAGTCATGTATCAATTCTTGATGGCACCCCATCCCAGTCCCACTCCTTGGGAACAGAGATATGTGAAGGCATAGATTGTGCTTGCTGATAGCCAGTGTTATCCATGCCTGCAAAGTCCTTTGAAAGGCAGCCGGCCCCAGCTAACAGATGGCCCTGGGGACGGATGGGCTGTCAGCTGTGGAGTGTAAGCCACAGCCAGGCCTCCTTTAGAAGGGCAAAATCCCAGTTCTGCTCACAAAGCAATAATACTATTTAGAGGTTCTAAAATCATTAACCACACAACCATTGTAGTATTGCAGGAATGTTGCAATAGGAATGGCATGTAAGGCTTCTTTTTCCACGTTTATTAGAAAGATTACACTTGTTCTGAAATCTATGAAACTATGCTGTTTTGGTCATGTAAATTTATATAGTGCCAGTTGTATGAAATGGTTATTTGAGTTCAGTTGAAGTCATTTTACCTGGCACATTAAAATAATTGCCAAGCTCAAACATGAGATAGCAGTTGGGATAGCATATGGAGCAGGCGGGTTTAATCAGCTGTGGTTAAAAGATGGAGAATTAGTGCAGTCCCTGCCCTCTTGAATGGACTGACATCTTTCACACACTCATCCTCTTTTTATGTCAAATTTATACCCCTGCCAAACTTCACATTTCTACATTGTGATTAATGAGGTTGTTCTTCAGTGGTCCTGGAATCTCAAACATCATTTTTCTTCTTGAAGGTTGCTTGCTTCTTGGTGGTCCCACTCTTCGTTTTTGAAGATGGATACAAGCTGTCCCTGACAAGGCAATCTTAGCAGCAACCATTCAACGGGGGGGGGGGGTCGTGTTAAGCCTTTAAACTTTCATCTAAATATCTTAACTGCTGTTGACCTAAAATGGGACATCTCAATGAGTTTTCTTCAACATACTTGCCAAGGAAATGGCTCTTTAATTAGCTGAAACTCAAAATTGTGATGGATTGTATGTAGGATTGTTGCCCACAGTTTTAGTTCTACTGTAGATCGTGTATGAAATCTACTAAAACAAACAACTGGGGGGGAAATCAGCTTGGATCCAGGACTTGCCCACGTGGAAGCTGCTCACAAAACAGGCTTTCCCATCTCACGGCTGCAGTCCAAAAACAGCCAACACCTGTCCTGGGAATTGAGGAACTGAGGAAAACCTTGGAAGAGTCTAACCAAGCAAAAACAGCTTGCACAGCTCCCATTCACACTGATCCTGCATGAAAGCCTGTTTTTTTTACAGAAGTTAAAGTAAGAGGTTGGCATCTAGAATGGGATGAAGAAAACTGCTAGAGCTGAACATCCCAAACCAGTTGCATGTTTCTCTCTTTGGTCATGAGGCTAGGCCTGCTCTCCCTTTCTCTGCTAATTTCTGAAACTGACCCAACAGAGTTTTCATGTGCTATAAGCGCTGAAAGGCAACAGTGTGTTTCTCTTTTTTGAATGGCTTCTGTTTCTTAGGTGTTCCTTGTTTGAGGGCTTAAACAACACCACAAGTGCATGTGATTCTGTTCTCTATATGTTTACTGCAAGAATTAAGCAGCACTGCTTTCCAGTCTCTCTGAATAGTGAATTCAAAGGCATGACTGATAACTGTCAAACACTTAACATTTATTTTCAGCCTTTATAATTTGAATAGAAGGAAACTTAATCAGCAGACAAATATGAGTACTTGTATTAAGGTTTTGTTGTTTTGCAATGACTTAAAATGACTCCCCTCTTAGGGTTGAGCCTGCCATGGAGTAAGGAAAAGCAATCTGTTTCAGGCAGCACCATGAGGATGGGTGGCATCTGGATGATGCAGCAAGACTTCTTAAAGTGTTATTGCTAGTAGGAGAGTCACCATATGAATTCTTCTTAACGCAGAACCACATCTTGGGCTAGTAAGGTAAAGGTAAAGGGACCCCTGACCATTAGGTCCAGTCGTGGCCGACTCTGGGGTTGTGGCGCTCATCTCGCTTTATTGGCCGAGGGAGCCGGCATACAGCTTCCGGGTCATGTGGCCAGCATGGCGAACCAGAGCAGTGCACGGGAACGCCGTTTACCTTCCCGCCGGAGCGGTACCTATTTATCTACTTGCACTTTGACGTACTTTCGAACTGCTAGGTTGGCAGGAACAGGGACCGAGCAATGGGAGCTCACCCCGTTGCGGGGATTCGAACCGCCAACCTTCTGATCGGCAAGTCCTCGGCTCTGTGGTTAAACTCACAGCGCCACCCGACCCCTTATCTTTACCCTTATCTCCCACCACTACAACAGCTACCAGAGGGTGGTGTCATGGAAGGGGACTTTTTCAGTTGTGGCCTCCCAGCTATGGAATGCTCTCTCAGCTAAAGCTGCCTGGCACAAACTTTTAACAACTTTCCAACACCAGGTTAAGTAGATTGTTGCAGGTTGTATGGTCCATATACTTCTGATTGTTTCACTGTTGCTGCTGTTGATATGATTCATGGGATTGTTTTTGTTAGTAGTTAGTATATGATGAATGCAAGTTTTTTTTTAAAAAAAATTAAGTTTGTAAACCACCAATAATATTTTATTTTATGGGGTGTCTATTTAATCAAATAATAATAACAGCAACAACAATAATATTTCTTGCTATGGCCCTAATTAGAGTCAAACTAGTATGCCATTACTTATGAAGGATAGCTGTGACAAAGTTTTAGAACTCAGGGATATGTCAAGCCCATGATATATAGATAGAAGTAGTGTTCTTATACAGTGGTACCTCGGGTTAATTCGTTCTGAAGGTCCGTTCTTAATCTGAAACTGTTCTTAACCTGAGGTTAATGGGGCCTCCTGCTGCTGCCGTGCCGCCAGAGCACAATTTCTGTTCTCATCCTGAAGCAAAGTTCTTAACCTGAGGTACTATTTCTGGGTTAGCGGAGTCTGTAACCTGAAGCGTATGTAACCTGAAGCATATGTAACCCGAGGTACCACTGTATTGCCATTATTTCTTGAGTGCACCTGAATGCAGTAGTATTAGACTTGGCGTGGGATATTTGTTTTATTCCTGACAACTGTTGAGAAAGTAAGAATTTTATTTTCACATAATTTTCTTCCCTGCATATTGTTATTCTGACTTCCAAGATTTTTTTAGCACATACATAATTCAGTTCCTATTGTATGTCACCTTCTTGGCTCCCTGTTAACTTTTCTACTGGCAATTGCATTTATCTTTTCAATCGGCATTCCACATTATTGTTTTAGCAGCTTTGTACATTGTTCCCTCAGGCTATTATATTCCTGAGGATCATTATGTCTACTTGAGTAGCCAAGGCACAGCACCCAACCTTTCTCCAAGCAGCTTATATCCACACCTAGTGTGGACTGCTTTACTCCCCACACCCTAAGTTTTGGTAACTTTCTTTTCTGTAGCAACTGATGGTGCAAGTAATCATGATCTTCAGTTCATTTTTTGACAGATGCAAAACTTAAGCAGGGTGGAGTTTAGTTTTTCATGCAATGTTAGCATAGAATATTGAAAATTAATGAACTGATAGAACTCAGTAATAAAACCCATTATTTTAATGACTTTCAATTTCACCTGTTGCTTGAAATTTCAAGGCAGCTAGTTTATCCTCTTGCTTTAAAGAATTCAAACCAAAGACTGTTTTTTTAAAAAAATTAAACAAAATTCTTCCCAATCAGTAATTAAATATATTTCACATGCTCATAAGTCATTTGAAACATGTTTTTGAAACTTTTGAAACTGAAACATGTTTTTGATTCCTACAATCTTGTGAACCGCCCTGAGATCTTTTGATGAAGGGCAGTATATAAAACTAAGGAATAAAAAAATAAATGAATAAACCATGCCATCAATTACATACTCTCCTTTTCCCCAGATCACCACAGACTTGAGGCAGCGTTGCACAGACAGCCACACGGGAACATCAGCATCGGCACCTATGGCTGCAGGAATCATTGCACTGGCTCTGGAAGCAAAGTAAGATTTGAGTGATACGAACAGTCATTAAGACATTAGCCTTTGCACATTTTTGGCTTTTTTGCTGCGTTTACATCGAGATATTTGGAGAAAAATTAAGACATGTGGGCCTATGCCTCCACATCAAGATGGATTTGGACTCTAGTTATATTCTAGTAGATTCTCACTTGCTTAAAGTTAGTTTATATTTAGCCACTGCTTAGTGGTTTATCATAGATCAGTGTTTCTGGCTTGTGAACTAAAAATATGCAAGTGGCACATACAATCAGCTTTTATAGTTACTATCTTCGGTTTCTTACAAAATAAAGCCAGATGTGGGACCATATTTGTGTGCATGAATGAGAATTATACCTAGTTTCTGAGAATATTGGTTTGTATCCAGACTTAAGTAGAGTAGTCTCACTGAAATCAATTGGACAGATTAGGTGTGACTTCCATTGAGTCTATTCTGGGAATGACTTAGATACCATTCAGTGTCTCTACTACAAATGTTACTGTTTGGCTGCAATATATCACTTACAACCAATTGTACTTGCTTGCATTTATTTTAAATATTATTTTAAACCACAGTTTCTAAGCAGTGTACAATAGGAGTACAGGAGCAATTCTAAAGGGGTATAGCATAAAAGTAGTTAAAATTAACCATAAAATTGAAAAACCTGCTTTAGCTTGTTTTGTTGTTGTTGTTTATTTAATTTATACACTGACTTATACCCGGAGGTCTCAGGGCGGTTCACAGAATAAAATCAAAATATAAAACCACAAAATACATAATAAAAATAAAAACAACCCAATAACCCCCCCACACACACAAAACCCCCCCCCACATTTTAAAATGGCATAGGATGCCAATCAAATCAACCAAAGGCCTGGTTAAAAATGAATGTTTTTGCCTGGCGCCTAAACATGTATAATGAAGGCACCAGGCAAACTTCCCTTTTGTTGGTTTCACAAGACTGGAAACATAATTTTGAGCCAGCATCTAGCACTTGTCAAATTGCTATTGCTGAATTTACAGGGCATGAGTACGGGATTATAAAAAAGACATAAGAATTTGAATAAGGGACAATAAGAGATGGTAATTGAAAAGCTGATACTGTCTTAAGTAAATCAGTGCTTTTGTTATAATTAGATTGTTACCAATACAGTACTTGAGAAAAAGTTAATACAGTAATATTATCTGCAAATGACTTTTCTTGTCACATCTTAATCTTTGTTGTAAAACATAGTTTTTTCATAACTGGTGCATACACACACACAAAAATATATGATTACTTATTTAATGAATTGAAATTGTCTCTGATTGTTTGAAAAGTGAAGCAAATTACTGTAATATCTGAAACTATCAAAATATGAGACCACCCAACCCATAAATCTGTGTTACCAAGGGTCTGAAATCCATCACATTATTATGTGCGAGGAGGCAGGAACAATTGGCTCTTGCCGGTGTTAGTATTTGCAGAACACTTCTCTAGTAATAGCCAAGACCAGGCTGAAGGGCAGGCCTCTTCTCCCAGCATACTGTGGAAAACAAAGGTTGAGATGGGGCTGTAGGCTTGAGGCTGAGAAAGGGAGAAGAGGAGGAGGAAACAGCTGTAGGGAAAGCCCCATAACATTTGGTACTTACCTCAGGAGCACAAAAAGGCATGAATAGGCAACAAAGAGGTTAGCTCCCTCCCTCTGCCAAAACAGAGGTCCAAAGTGCTGACAGGCTAACCAGGTGAGTGGCAACCTCAATTCCTTAGTGCTAAAGGAAAGGCTGTGGGGTCGATATAGGAGGATATTACAGTGGTACCTCGGGTTACAGACCCTTCAGGTTACAGACTCTGCTAACCCAGAAATATTATCTCGGGTTAAGAACTTTGCTTCAGGTTGAGAACAGAAATCGTACAGCGGCAACAGCAGGAATCCCCATTAGCTAAAGTGGTACCTCAGGTTAAGAACAGTTTCAGGTTAAGAACGGACTTCCAGAACGAATTAAGTTCTTAACTCGAGGTACCACTGTATTGAGGTAAGGAATGCTAGCAATATCTGTGTTACTTGTGCACAGGGCTGAGCCTAGGAGAAGCGTAATAAATGTAAACACAGGAGGACGGAATAAGTCCCTAGGCTCAGCCCTGTGCACAATTAACACAGAAATTACTATTGATTAAAAGATTACAAAATGGGTCCCCAAATGCATATTTGGGTTGGGGTTAAATGTGGAAGATACCTGCCTTAGATGAAGAAAACTGCATCTCTTCTGTCAACAAGGCAGAACCTGTAAATAATAAATCATATTTATCTAACTTGGAAATATAGCCTGAACTTGATCAAAATCAAACCTTGTTCTGAACCGTAGCTATGGGAGCTTTTTTGTCCCGGGTGAAGCCTCCAGGGGGCGCCATTGAGGCTTCCAGCCTCTTTGTGTGTGTCTGTGTGGTGGGGAGTGCCAAACTGAGTCTTTAACCTAGATGAAATACGGCCTATTTTCACCCGTTTACAATAATTATCCACTTGTTATAAATCCAGAAAAATGCCAGTTGTATTTCACACAATACTTTGTCTGGCATCATGCTGTTTTCCCCCCACAAAAATATTTGGTTGACTGGGTGGTATTCAATAAAGTTTTACTCAGAGTAGACCCACTGAGATAAATGAACATGACAGGTACATTAATTTCATAACACTACTGTGAATAAAACTTGGTTGAATACCACAGCCTGAAAGTCTCTTGTTAGGAAACTGATATATAGACCTCATCCACATGTCTTGGTTCCTGATAGTCACCCCAGATTCTAGGTCCAAGTACGTGTCCTAAAGATCTGCAAAGTCTGGCTGAGTCCTGGCAGTGGTGTAATATGATTTTGTTTTTTAAGTTTAAGAGTGTGTTTTTTCATATTAACTGATGACAAAAGCTGTAGCGCTGAGGGATGAATCAGGGTCTTTCCACACAATCCAGTCTGGATTCAATTCTTTGAATGTTTTCTTCCTAATGTGGGAGAGAGTTCACTGTCTAGACTACTATTCAGCAAACAACCAAAGGAAAAATTCATCAGTAGGAAGCTCCCCCCCCCCCAAAAAAAGCCTTACAACTTTTTTTTTTTACAACCATTGTTTGATCACACTTTGATATGGACATTTTTATATACACTAAGAGCTTTCCCACTGTCAGTAACTATAACTTGCATTATATTTCTAGAACTCAATGTAGTAATAACTGAGCTTCGTCATGTAAACATTCCGGATGGGAATTCATAATACTGATGGATATAATCCAGTATAATTCATAATACTGATGGATGAATCCCAGCAGTGTTGCAACTAATGTTAAACATGATCTCATATATTTTAGACCATTATTTGAGAAAATAAATAGGAGTAGAGGCAGCCAAATGCTCCATAAATGTTTTGAAAATTCACACCAGGGCTATTTAAGTACTATCTGCAGGAAATCTCTCAAGAAATCAAAGTATGTTTCCTTGTTTGACTTCTTCTAAGTAGGTATAGGTCAAGCATGGCCTGTTTATAGCGTTTTGCAAGCAGACTGTGAATATCTCCCAATAGATCCACACCTTGAGTACCCACTGAGTTCTTCCCTTGCCCTCGCAAGTGCTCATCTGGAACAGGAGAAAGGAGAGGCTGTGAAGCAGATGCTCCAACTCCACACAGGAGGGTCCTTCCCTTTTTGTCAGTGGAAACTGACATGGAAACTGGTGGGGCTTGTAGTTCCAGTCCCTTCCTCAGTGGGACATAATGCTTTGTGTGGAAATGGAGTGCTTGCTGCTACATCTGCTCCTTCCCCCTTTCTCCAGCCCCAGATAAGTGGGCCTTGGGGAGGCAAGAGGAGGGAGAGGTTGGTGCTGAAGGCAGTGGCTGATGCTTTGAGTACCTTCATTCATTTTGGACATGCTCATTTGGAGCAAACACCAAAGATCAAATTGAGTGGCACTTTTCACTCTTTTTTCTTTAAATTGTATTCAAGAATATGTACAAAACAGAGCTAAGATAGCCAGTGGGGGAACTACTTGGTTTTGGCAACTGCAGGGCAAAAGCAAGGCACACACCAATATTTATCCCTTCGTGGCGCTGTGGGTAAAAGCCTCAGCGCCTAGGGCTTGCCGATCGAAAGGTCGGCGGTTCGAATCCCCGCTGCGGGGTGTGCTCCTGTTGTTCGGTCCCAGCGCCTGCCAACCTAGCAGTTCGAAAGCACCCCCGGGTGCAAGTAGATAAATAGGGACCGCTTACTAGCGGGAAGGTAAACGGCGTTTCCGTGTGCGGCTCTGGCTCGCCAGAGCAGCGATGTCACGCTGGCCACGTGACCCGGAAGTGTCTGCGGACAGCGCTGGCCCCCGGCCTCTTGAGTGAGATGGGCGCACAACCCCAGAGTCTGTCAAGACTGGCCCGTATGGGCAGGGGTACCTTTACCTTTACCTTACAGCCTTCATATCTGATAAGATGCAATGCTGATACCTGAATATACAACCAGGACTTACATAATTAGCAGCAGGTGTGTGCATCACCAAACATGAACAAACAACTCCCATGCAAACCAAAGAAGAACAGGGTGTTACATAGCCCAGTAAATTAGAATATTACATTGGAACAATTTTTGCATCCAATTCTGTTACTCTATTGTACAGCCCTGATGTAGTTCAAATGTTGTCACCACGCCTAATCCAATGTGACTGATTTTCTCAGACAGAATGTTATGGTATATATAAAGGGTGGTGAACCTTTTCCACCCTGAGGGCCACATCCCCTTCTATGCAGCCTTCCAGAGGCCAGATGGCAGTGGTGGGTGGAGGCAGAAGCGGAAGTGGGCACAGCAACAAGTGCAGATGCTGCCTTTCTCCTCCATGCAGACAACCAAAAAACACCAGAGCTCAATGGCCCATTCCAGCCAGGCAAAAACAAGAGGGTGGAAAGTCAGCAGGGTCATGGAGTGGGGGGCAGCCTGGAGGGGGGCATATTTGGTTTCCCACTCCTAGTATACATGCTGAAGTGTAATGTCTGGGGAT